TTTGATTTTTTCTTTTACAACCACGCTATTAAGTAGCCAACTATGCTGATAGCACGTGCGTCTGACTAGTAGTTAAAAAATAATGAAAAAATTTGGGTTTATTTGTAATATTATTTTATTGAAGAATGTGTGATTGAAAATAAAGAGGAAAATAATGGGGACCAAAAAATGGTTTAACCTCTTATAAAATCATTTTAATCTTTAGAGCTTCACCCTTGAATGCACCGTCTATTCTCTCTAGCATTCGACTTGACTAGAACACTAATATGAGATATGCGCTGAACTTAGGCCCTGTTTGTCCCAACTTTTCAGCCAAAATTTGACCGTTTCTTTCTTGTACCTGGGCCCCGCATGTGAGAGGAATGGTCCACAATGACTGCTCAACACGGTCAAATAATGGATTAAAAGTCAGCTCAAAAGCTGGGGTAGACATGGCCTTAAAAAGAATCCGTGCCCATATGCATGTTGATTTGTATGGCTAGAACCAAAAAAACAAAAAAATTAACGGTATTATTTCTTTTGCCCCTGTTTGGTTCATTTAAAAAGTTGATTAAGATTTAAATCAATGTCAATAATTAAATTTTAATCATATATTTTATAGGACGCAGAATATTTTCCAACCCCACATTTCATTAATTTTTATTAAATTCTACTTAAAATCTGATTTTTATCTAATTAAAATACAGGTTACACATGTTTTGGAAAAGAAGACAGCTTAAAAAGAGAATTTTCAGTTGTTCTCATTAATTTGGACATTTCCTTGTCCCGGCATATAAAAATGATATTTTTTTAGAGAGTGTATTAAGAAAAATATTTAAAAATTATTATTACTGTTTTTCAAACATATGATTAAAAATGACATATTTAAATCAGATAAGGTTTTCGTATTTCCCCTCATCATCGTCATCTTCATCTTCTTTCACCATTTCTCCTTGTGCTTTATACCCAGAAACTGCAAAAAGAGAGGAGAAAAAAGGGTGTTTTTTTTTTTTTGAAGAAGAAATTATCAATAATTCTTGATAAGACATGCTAGCTTCAACATCTCTCAATGTAGTAGGCTCTTTGGGTGGCCTAACATTGAATGCACCCATCCACAGTTCACACAAATCTTTCTTACTCCCTGCAACAAAATCGTTAACTTTCCCCACAAAACTCAGCGGCACCACCGCCTGGAAATCAACCACCTCTGTAAAAACATCCGTCGCTGCGGTGGATTCCTCTGATCCCACTGAAAAGGTCAGTCACTTCTTTCTCATATCACATTTACGTATTAAACCATAACCATCCATTGTAGTTGTCAGCAATGTTACTAGTTTTGTTGACCTCAGAAAATGGCTCTAACACGTTGCCAACATGGCCAACAGAATGTCTTCAAGTCAGCTATTCCCTGCACACGTAGCATGGCGTTAGCTACCCGTGGCCTTTCCAGTAGGGATTGGGAGTGACCACGAGCACTCCGACGGTCAAGTTAGTTTATGGTTCAATCGGAAAAGGTTCGTCGACTGAAGAACACTCGCCAGAAAGTGGTCTATAAAATTTGTAGTGATAAAAATGCCAATATTTAAGGGAGAGGATAATACTAGAGTTTTTAATGTAGTAGGAGAAAATCTTGATTCGAATCTTTCCTCTGACACAAGGAGGGGATATTTATACTAAGGATCAGAATGTGAGAACCATTGGATGAGGAGACACGTGTTACCAGATCTTCAAGGTTCATCCCATCATCGGTATCAATCCGTCCCTCCATAGGTTGGCTATCATTGAATATCTCTGACAAAGGCAATTGATTTGACTGTTTAAGTACTGCCGCACGTCCCATCAGTCAGATATTTGACTTTGGAAAGATCTTTGTACAAGAGATCTTTGATAGGCGAGGCAGGAGAGGCGTTGCAGCGTTGTAGAAGCGGAGTTCGGGCCTTTGCATCCACGGTGTAATTGTGGATGAGTCTGGTTCCTTTGCTGACGCGCATTCTGTTTGTTCCTCACGCAATCACTTCGGCATATATAATCAGCTCGTCCCATGCACAATCACCTCGGTAGACACGTGGCGTGATGTGGACCACCTCTACTGACAAGTGGCGGCGAAGGGCGGGTCTGACATAGGCCCATAACAAGTTTTTTTCTCAATCATATCGATTTTGATGGTATAGATAAGTATGGGATAAGGTTTTATTGAGTTTGGTTCGGTTCAATATTGGGTTTGATAGTGAGAGTATAGCATGTTTGGCTAATTTTAAAGTAAAAATTGATACGTTTGTGGTCTCTTATAAATATAAAATTATGTATTTTGAAATGTAAGTAAACTCAATTATACGCTTAGCCAAACATGCACATTCACACATGATAATTCTTGAAATTACTTTGCAGGAACATGAGCAAACTGAGAAGAAGTATTATTTTGTTGTAGCAAATGCGAAATTCATGTTGGATGAGGAAGAACATTTTAAGTTTGAGCGCCTTCAGAATTATGGAGAGCGTAATATAGATCAAGATTTCTGGCTTGTGATTGAACCCAAGTTCTTGGATAAGTTTCCGAAAATTACCATGAGACTAAGGAGGCCCGCCGTGGCCCTTGTTTCTACTAATGGCCCCTGGATAACGTAAGAACACACACTTGAAACTTAAGTGCTTAATGATCTATCTTTCGTTAAAATGTTTGGTCTAAATCTAATTGCTTGATTCTAATACATGGTACTTGGAAGGTTGATTTTTGGTAATCATTTCAACTTTCACATCTCTTTTGGAGAACTACCTTTGTCTTCCATAGCATGTCCTAGGTTGACCGCTTTTGTAAAACTTAATCAAATCTTGCGATACGAGTCCCAATAAATATTTTGTTGGGTTGTTTCCCTCCAGCAACGTATTGTTAAGAATCTAGTTGCTTTAGATCTTCTAGTTGTAGCGAACAATTTACACATTTCTTGTAGCTGCTTCGTTCATGAACTCCCAAAGTTCGCCATAATGCCACATTGTCACCTTTGTCCAGATAGTACTTTAAGAAAAATGAAGAAATGAGTGCGCCTACTTTAAAATGATTCTGTATATGATTAATTGAACCATTCTAAATCCTCGGGTGTTTTGCATATGGATAGATACATGAAACTAAGACTCGACCGGGTTTTGCAAGAAAGCTTTGAAGCTGACAGTATAGAAGATGCTTTGGCATCTAATCCCGTTGATCTTGCCTTTGAAAAGCCAGAGAAGTGGACGGCTCCATACTCTAAGTATGAATTTGGTTGGTGGGAGTCGTTGGTATGAAGCGATACTCCTGTAGTATTTCTGTGAGTGTGACAGCGTGTTGCAATTCTGAACTTTGTCACGGTTGTTTTGCTGGTAGGTAAATAAAATCAGAAACTTTTGCATTTTGGAGGTGGTTTGTAAATTCTATTTTAAGGCTTCAGGAAAAGGCATATATTGTATGAATTATATTGCGTGGCATTATGTAGACATACCCTGCAGTTTTTGTCTACTAAAACATTGTTAGTTGTTGAGGTTGAGAATATTGAGTTAAAAAGTAGATGTAAGCATTAGTGAAATCATGCTTAGTTTAATGATATAAGAAATACTAACTCAATTCTTTGCAATCACATTAAAGTTGGAAAAAAGTAAACACGAGAAACAACCCAAACAGAAAACCAAGTCATAAGCTTGAGTGAGAGAATGAAAAACTGCAGTTAATTGGTTGTTGCAGCTGTAATGAAACATAAAAAAAGCAAGTCGACTAAGGTAGAAAAATACTGGCAGTGTTTCTAGCATCAGAAAGTAAAGCCGATAAATCCTCGAGCATAGCTTTTGGATCATTATTAGTGCTGCTTATTGTCTGTGATGAAAGGAACTTTGGGTAATTTCTGAAGGACCTTTTCATCCAATTTGCTGTATTGTCTCTTGAGTTTGATTGTTGCCTTCTGAGCATAAGAATCAACTCGATCTTCGTGCTTTTCATACAACAATGGCATTGTCAAGAGCATTACAAATACTGCCAGCATAGAACACAAGGCACGGTCAGAAATTATGCTGAAGCCACCAAATTTTTGTACTAATACTTTTTTTTTTTGGGTCTACCTTTGCCTCAACCTATTTCAGTCCCTCTTTCGTTGACCCCAATTCGTATATGCTTGTATAGCAATTTCTAATTCGTACCACGTTAATGTTCATCTACATCTTCGTCTAATTACCCTTTTCTCCTCCAATGGCCTCATGAACTAAAAACAAAAAAATAAAGGCATATACCAAAGAACCTTATCTTGAAAGGGGGTTGACAGGAAGATCACTCACCTATGTATACAAGGGTCAAGAAGTCGAACCAGCTGCCGACTATAGACACAGCCCACAAGCCCAAAATTGCCTGCATTTCACAGTTTAGTATAAACTTACAGCAGAAAATTTCGACATGACAGAGGATTGCTCCGGAGTTGAATCCAGAACCAGTAGGAAATCACTGTACATATCTTAAACTGATTTTTCGAAATATGAAATATGTAAAAGAGTTCATTAGATGAAGAGGAGTACAGAGAGAAATTTCTTCAAATCATTTCCTGTAGCTACTTGGCGAAAGATACCAAATGCCTGGTTACATCTATCCCTTACTAGGAGAGCAATACTCATGCACAAATCCTCTGGTAATACAATCTGGGGAAAGTTGAAAGCCGACCTATCCATAGAACCAAGTTGAAACACAGTAGTATGAGTCGATGTAGCAATGAATAGCACAAAATGGAGAAAAGTAACTATACAGTAACGGCCTGTCCATAATATCAAGAGAAAAACAGTAGTACGAACAATGTAGCTACAAAGAAAAAAGATTCATGTAACCTTGATCTATTGATAGTGTTAAGATTTTGATTTCCATCTTAAAATGTCAACCTTATTAAAATGAGTAACATAAACTCTTATAAATTGATCAATGATTTCATCTTTATTCGATGTGAGATTTTATCCATTAACAGTATACCAAGTAGGGAAAAACAAGACTCACCGGTTAACAGAGTAGGACAAGTGGGACCATAAGAAGAGAGTGGCCAAAGACAGAATAAGAGAATGACAAAGAAAAGTAATCAAATGATAGCCTATCCATTCAAACAGAAGCCATATCACAGTTGCACCAGCAAGCAAACCTCCAGACATCTGCTTGTTCCTCCAAAGTACAACATCCGCAGCTGAACAAAAAACCATTACCCGCATTTTAATTTGAATTTATTCTAAGTCTAAAATGAAATTTTCCGGCCTTCTGATTGGTCTAGCTTCAGAAACAGCACAGAAACCAGATGAGAACAGTATGGTTGATAACCATTGTTATACATATATACATTAAAAATAAATATTGACATACGTTTGCCACCACCGAAAGCCTTATGAATTGGTTTTTGGCGGCCGAAGAGACGAAACTTCTGTCGATGTGCGTGTTCATCATCGGACGAGGAAGAATAATAGTCCTGGCCATGGCCATTATTGACCCCGGATTCATGAACCTTTTCCATTGAAGAATATTCAGAACCAATTCCAATTTCATCACCCATTACAGGATCAGACATCTTTATTCTTCCTGGAATGAGATCCAACAAAAATAAATGGAAATTTCCAAGAAAACTTCACAAATGCATGAAACTTTATATCTTTCAATATTCAAACGCATTTGCGTGCAATATCTTACTGAGTTTAAAGATCAAAGAAGAATTCACATACACACACAGTAACATGCACTGATCTTACAGAAATGGTGGTTGAAAGCTAATGAAATTGATGAGCTTTTTCCCCGTTGAGATTTGGCGTGGCAGTTTTGGTTTGTTTATCATTCGAGACCTCTAATTTGGAAGAAAAAAATTTTTAATTTTTTTTTAATAACTGAAATGAAATATTCAAAAAGCCCAACAACACAGAGAAAATTATGGTAACCAAAAATCGCACTGTAAACCTATTTTTCGGGATTTTATTTTTACTCAAGAAATGGTGACAGATGAGAAAATTTTCATTTTTTTTTTTTATATATTTAGCTTTTCATCTGCTTCTTTTCTCCTGATTTGGCAAGGAGTGGAAGACCTTTCTTTAAGAAAATTTGATTTTTGATCAATAGAATTCAACAACCGTCACAAAATGTCATTTGCGATATTACGATGAGCCATTCGGGCTGATTTTTTAAATATTAATTTCTAAAAGAGAAACTAACGTGAATTAAAAGAAGGAAAGCTAGGGGAAAAAAGACCTCTAGTATTCCTTTCTTCTGAAAATTCGACTTTTTTGGACGAGATATCAATTGTACGAGAGTGAGTGAGAGCGCACTTTACCTAAAATAAAAACTTTCCATGAGCTAGAAGATGTTATTTAAATTTAAAAATAAAAATAAAAATTAATCTAGTATAAAGATGAAAAGGCAAGATAAAAAATAAATTTATTTTTGCTTGAATATATTCTTTAATTTTCTAAAAGTAAGAAATATATAATCTCAAAACGATACCATCCGAGGGTGTTGATCAAGCTAGCAGAGGGTTCTCTAGGAGTGGTGGTGTGGAAATTGTGTCTAATCAGTACGGGAGTCGAGGAGTCAGAGTCGGTAAATCATTTGAGAGCTAATTTCCTTAAGTTCACGGATGCAAGGGGTGGATGTATGGGAGAATTCAATGGGGGTTGAGCTATGGTGAGGAATCACGATGGAACGGTGATTGCTGCAATGGCTAGATGAATCATTAACTCTTTCTCATTGATGGAAGTCGAAGGGTTAGCTTTGTATAAGGAATTGCTGTTCGTCCGACAAAAGGGTTACGGATGTAAATGACATAATGTAACTCATTTGTCGTACCACTTTTGTCAATGGATGTTTGGTCTTTATTATAGTTTATTATATTTTTATCTCCCCTCATTTTAAATATACAATCTCAAATAAAATAATATTACGCATAAATTTAAATTTTTTCTTATTTTTAATCACGCATTTTTTTTTAAAAAAAAATAACTATTCGAAAATACATTATCCTCGAAAACTCATTAAATAGATCCGAAACAGGAGCTTAATTTGTGCTAAATGTGTGACATTTAGGATAGTGTTACGGGTTAGCAATGGTTCTTGTCACTTCGTTTCTGTTCATGAAATATAATGGTCCAAAGTTTCTTTTTCACTGAACATATTTTATGCCACGTTTTCTTGGCTAGTCTGTTTTGAACAATATGCTTAAATGTGGCACTTCTATTCTAAAATTAAAATAAAAAAATCAACAACGTTATCTAATGGTAAAAAAAATTATAACTTTAATAGATAATTTTCATGAAAAACGAAACCAAACGTATATCGAACTTTCAACATTTTTTAAGTAAAAAATTATTAATCAAATACAATTAATTATAATTTACATTAAAACATCATTTTCTTTTCACCCAAAATCTGCATTTGCCATGAAACGGTCCCTTCATGTTGCAATTAGTCCTCTCTATTGTCAATTACCCTTTTCACACTTTGCTTTTTTATTTCCCAATTCTTCAATTGTAATAAGCGGGCATTTGACTCTATGCTGAAATCCAGCTAGTAAAACCACCGGAGCGCGGAGGAGAACACTGATAAACCGCCGATGGAAGCGGTGGCGGAGGGGTTGTGGGCGCTGGCTGACTACCACGAGCAGAAACGGGATATAGGGAAGGCTGTAAAATGCTTGGAAGCCATTTGCCAAAGCCCAGTCTCGTTCCTCCCTATTGTCGACATCAAAACTCGGCTACGCATCGCCACTCTGCTTCTCAAGCACTCCCATAATGTTAATCAGGCTAAAACCCACCTCGAACGTTCTGTAATTTCTTCTCCCTTCTCAGAATTTCCTTGTTTTTCTGTTCAACTCATGTGATTTGGATTTCCATAGAATTTGAAGTAATATTTATGTGATTACAGTAGAAATCTAAGTTTCTTTGTGTTTTGAATTTGGGTTTTTGTTGAAAACTGTCTGTATCTGTGTTATATCTGTTGTTGATTTAATTGAAGTACTATGGAGTTTGGAGGGGCTTGATTCAGCACAAATGTTGCGCAGATTACAGTGGTATGAGGAATAGGTGGTGGTGTAATTAATTTAATTTAGTTCTTCTACTGAAACGCTAATATAGGATACAATGCTTGTGCACATAGCTTTCATACTTGCCAAGATGAACTGGTGATGTTTTGTTTTTCCCGTTTCTGCATTCCTAAAGAAAGGTTATACTTGGGGAAATTTTGTGAGAGAGAAAAAGCAAAATGTAACTAACCAAACTTAAAATGGACATACAATAATTAGAGATCGATCAAGATAATTTTAAAGAAAACAAATGGGAAGGAAGAAAAATGGTGTTCAAAAAAAATATCCTAGTTAAGTTGGTAGTTGAAATGGGATGGGGTGGGTTGATGAGTTGTTAAAGCAGGTTGATGAAGAGAGGATAAGAAGATGGATGATTGATGCAGCCATGTGGGGGCGTGGGAAGGTGAATTTTTTTTACTGGGGCTCATTTAATTTAAACTTAGCCGAGTAACTGGTGAGTATTGCTCTATTTATTTTTAAAATTTTGACCTTAATATTATTTTTCCTTTGTCCTCAATCTTTTTGCGTACGGGGCATATCCTGATAAAAGCCTTACTTTGGTCTCATCCCAAGAACAAGTTGATATGAAACATCAGACAATGGTCTGTAGAAATCTAATTGGGATTTGGGTGATTCACTTCGCTCAGGAAAGTCCCTTCTATCCCGTCAGGGGAACCTGGAGCAATACATAAATAAAACAGGTACTTGGAAGGTGATCCATGAGCCTAAGTAATAGGCTCAAGTGGTCCAAACTGACTGTTTGAGCTGATCCTTGCAGTTATGCACTCTTCGAATGGAAATCAGTTTTTAAACCTCGTGTAGTAGTAGACTTTCAATACCTGCATCCTTCCAAGGCTTTATGAAGAAATTTAATTATTTTCAGTTGTGATATTTGGAACTGAAGCAATGACTTCTTTTGCCTATATTTGTGTCTGGTTTATAGATATCGATAATTATATTTATTGTCTGTGGAGTAGAAATTTATTGATCCCATAAAATGTGATAAGGTTTCAAGCTGAATGTCAACCCATTTCAACCTGTTTCCATTATCCTAGTCTAAGTCTGTCTATGGAGAAACGTAGGCAGAGTTATTGACATTTATGAAGTACGAAAAAGATCAAAGATATGATGCAAATGGACAAATGGAAAATTATATAGTGGAGGAACACAAATTAAGTAGTTCTTTATTTATTTTTATTCTTTTTGTATGCTTTATCCGTGTGTATCAAAATTTAACTTAAAGAAACTAATCAAATGTTGAACTTTCTAGTCATACTTAATGAGTACTCATCTTATGTTGACGTAAAAATTATAAGACAAGTATGAACATTTTGTCCGTGTGCGCGCGTATAGCATGCATGTAAATAATTGATTGTCTTATATTATTACTTTTTTAAGACCCATTTTCATGCTAAAAGGAAGGTAAGGTCTGGAATTTTAAGGTTCATTTAGTACATCACATGATGGGAGATAAGTCTTAAACACGACGTGCACTTGGGACTGCCAAAGACCATTTAGTTGGGTTAAAGCTGCTGCTTAAAGGATATTCTCCATTGTTCTGCGTTGTTCTAAAATTAATCTTCATCTTTAATGTTTATGGTAGGTAGTTGTTAACACGTATTCATGTAATTTCGTCAAAATGCTAGTGTGTTGTATAAAGAAACCTATTGAAAAATGCTAATCTACCCTAACCATCTAGATTCAATATACAAATAGATATAGTTAGTTGAAAAGACAAACATATTTTTTGCATTCGTAATATGTTTTCAATTTTTTATGAGAGGTGCATCATCAATTTATCTTTAATTGGCAATGTTATTCTGGCATTGCATTTCTAACTGATCTCTTCTTGGTGCAGCAAGTTCTCTTGAAGTCTATTCCTTCATGCTTTGAGCTGAAGTGCAGAGCATATAGCCTGTTGAGCCAGTGCTACCATCTCGTAGGCGCCATTCATTCTCAAAAACAGATACTGAACAAGGGTTTAGAACTTTCTGCAATTTCTGGAGATGGGTATGAGATAGTTTTTCTCCTTCCGTTTCTGCCTGAAGATAGTGAATTTATAGCTTGTTTAGAAAGATAGAAGGATTTATTGATAGAATGTGAAATTGCATACAGATAGATCCTTGTGCTAATTATAAAAGGGAAAACGATTACAGGAGACATCTCATCGATCCCTAAATTCTCAATTGGATATGTGATGCTGCTGTTCAAAGGGAAGAGAGATGCACTATCTTTCACCAAATTAGTCAGCATGTATTGAATTTGTAAAGTGTAATTGTCTATGCCCAAATTATTCACGTTATCACAAAGCAAAGGATACCGCCAAAAGATTGTGATTTTACTTCATCCAAAACCCCAAATATGAATCTGCATAAATTCTGTACTCCAGTTTCAAAAATTGATTATTTCAAATATTAAAAATCAATGACAAATACTTTTTATTGATTTGTTGAGCCTTTCATGAAATTTTACTGTTGAAAATTGTTGTACCAAATGAAGTGATCTTAAATTTATCATGATTTTTGTCTTTGAAAGGTCGAAGTTTCAAAATTTTTCTCTGAAAGATCTGTCTCAGGTTATATCAGATTCGTTTTAGGGGACTTTCTTGAATGCTTACCATTTCACATAAGTTGCTCTGTAGCTGCGAGAACATCAAATTGCATGAAAAGTTCGGAATCTATTAGTTTTTAATATTGCAGATAACTCTTTAACTAAGGATGTTAATTTTTCATTTTGCTTTCAATTTAACAAGTTTGGATTCATGGCTGCTTGTGGTTTATTCCTTGAAGGTTTGCAGGAAGGTTATGGTCTTGCAACTTCATTTCTCAGCTTGCGAATGCTCTAATAATTGAGGGAGACTATCAGGGATCAATTTCCACTTTGCAACAAGGACTAAATTGTGCATTGGAGATGTGTTATCCAGAGCTACAGGTTTGTCTAAAAATAATGATTATTTCTGGTTGTGAAATCTTGTTTGCGTGCCACAGTAGCATAATGAGCTAAGGTTATGGCAGCTCCGGATATTACATTTTCAAGTGAGGTAGAGAAAAACCTTTTCTAAAGTATATAAGATTGAGTTATCTTAGTGTTATGGGTATTGCTTCCTTTAATTGTTTATCATACGCTGCTCATATTTCGAGGCTGTTGAGGCGCTCTCTTAAGATTCCCTAATAAATATTTTTCATGCTCATTTGGTTTATTAGGAGAAATTATTGCAAACCTCTAATTTTTTCTTTCTGTCGGTGAACCAGATGTTCTTTGCTACTTCAATCTTGCACGTGCGTGTTGTACAGTGGGATAGCACAAGTTTGGTAGAGGAATCTGTTAATAGATGCCATGTGATATGGGAATCTATTGAGCAAGATAAAGTAAGCCAAAATCCTCATTTATTCTCTCTCTTTGCCGTTCTTTTTCATAGTAAGTCCATGTAAATTCAACTAATCAAATGTTACTGAACATCTGCTATGTTTATTTATATGCTTCGACAGATGGAAAAGATTTATCAAATTGGTTTTGTAGAATAAATATGTCCAGTTCCTCGTCTTTTTCTAGATGCTTATATGTTTGTTTTGAGAGTACCGATTAATACTTCTAAGTGAAGGACAATAACTGCATATCCGCATATGAATATTGATCCATACCATTTGTCTTGTGAGAATAGCATTAAATTTGAAGGTTGAATCAAAATATTGGTAATGTATTTTAGATAAGTGTACTTCATTAAGCATTGTCGGTAAACACCAAAATGCAGGAATTAGACATTGAAGAAGTACTGCATATATTATTACTTTGATAGAAAGACACCATCTCTCAAATGAAAGATCCATTTATTTATAGAGTACCTATATGATTAATATTTACAACTTAATCATCTCTATTTTTAATAGAAAATTGGAAGAACCGAAGAAGCATCCGTGCTTTGCATTCAAATTAAATGATTTAACACCCAGCAGTTATTTATTTGTTTATTTTTAATAGAAATCCCTCCTGGGTATCACTTGTTTAGTGAACATTCCAATGTGTATATGTCTTGCAATTTTAAGTTAATTCACATACACACGAGTTAAATAGTATCTCAATTGTCAATAGGATATGCTTGTGTTTCTCCTCCCCTGTCTACACCTCATTATCTTCCTTAAGAACAACTTTGCGGTTCACATTAACATGTAGTGACATATCGACCCACAGCTAAGACCCACACCCCGGCTTCCACTTATTGTTCTTGGATGAGCTTCCTGATTCTTCTTTTGCCTTAAAGATTCTATTTTCATTCCTTATCTTGATTCTGAATCTAATGTTTGGAAGAAAATTAGTTATTTTTATAGCAAAGCAAAAATTGAATACCAAAAATAGTTTTCTTTTGTGCAAAAATTTACTTTTTTGATTTTTTGTTTCCATCACGAGAAGTATAAATAAAATTCATTATTAGTATCAAAATAATCTATAATTCTTCGACCTGCCACAATTATTAATTATTATTAAGGTCGATTGTATCTGGTGGAAAGGCAAGATGTAGTCATTTTATGCTTCTGTCTGCTGATATCTCTTTAATCCAAAGAACTTCAGTTTTTTCTCTCCCTTGAGGGACTTCTGTGACTGTCTAGATTATAACTTCTAACAAATTCTACAGATACACAAATGTCTTATGCCCATTTTTGTTAATGGATTGCACAACCCCTGTTCATGATTTCAAATTGTCCTTGGATAATATATTGTCTGATTGGATGAATATTGTAAGCCATACCAATTATGCCTGCATTTTTGTTGGTTGAAAAACTACATGTAAAATCAACTGACACATAGATTTCTGTTTTCCTCTGCTTGTATCGGGAAGAAACAACAGTGCGTTGGTTTATTATTTTATCATGAGCTGCTGAAATTGTTCTATTTACTCCGGATATGTGATTACAAGAATGCTGCTCAACATGTTGACAAATTGGATGTTGTTATAAAGTCTGACTTGGTACGGATGCAACATATGCGAGAACTCACCAAAGAGCTTGATGCACTAAATCACAGTCTCTCCCACTCTGATTTGAACTACAGAGACAAATCTGCTCTTACTGAAAAACAAGCCCAGCTTGAAGAACGACTTGGTAATTATAGTGGGATGAGTCTAACTGGGAAAATGCCTTTGGAACCTGCATATTTTGGAAATGTTAAACGAGCATGGGCTGATAAACTCGAGCTGGCTCCCCCTCCCATTGATGGGGAATGGCTACCAAAAAGTGCAGTCTATGCATTGGTAGATCTTATGGTGGTTGTTTTTAGCCGCCCAAAGGGACTTTTTAAGGAGTGTGGAAAGAGGGTTCAATCTGGAATGCAAATTATCCAAGGTTGGTTTTGGTAATCGAGATGTAATTTTAATACCTGCATTTGAAATAACCCAGTACTGATCACGCATTTTAAATTGCAGTTCTTGTACATGTAGAAGTGAATGGATGTCGATATATGCTCTCTCGAATTGTTAGCTATATGGATATATATTTGGTTATTACCAATTTATTTGTTGCCAAAGCATAATATATACTCTGATGTGAATAAAACTGAAAATGGTTTGTCTCCTAACTATTCTAAGAGAATAAGCTTGTTAGAGTGTGATCAACGTGTTCCATATTGTGCGACCTGGGTTTTTTTTAAGATCCCGAGAAGTACATTATCTTCCAAGTTTATTGTCCCTTCGTCTTTGCTGGTTTTCAGTTATTCCGGAATAGTTTGACCTCTTTACCTTTTGTTGCTATATCAGACTGGTGGTATTACTTGGATTGTCAAATCCAATTGATAGAGGCCGTAGAGGGATATATTAATTACGTGCTTGCTTTTCTTATGGTCCTGCATGCAGTATTTGGAAGGCCATTCCATGGGTTTTCTTCAATTGCAGCTTATTTTGTTTATATCTGCAACTTGGGTTGCTTAACCATACGATCTATGCAGTGATTTAACACATCAAGGCTAAATTGTGAAGAAAGATAAAATTTATAGAACTTTACTAACCTCCGGTGACTTTGGATATGAAAGGAATGCTTCTGAAAGATTTTTGCGATTTGTGCTCAAATGTCGATAAAAACCCTTACACATTGTTTTGATTGGAAGTCATTTGGATAGTTGATGAATGAACAAATGTGTTGCTTAAAGCCTGTAAAAAATTGTAATTCAGTGTTAGATGCTCTTGATACCTGAATTATTCTCTTTCTTGCAGAGGAACTGGTGCAACTTGGGATTACTGATGGCATTAAAGGTTAGGCTTCCATTTATATGGATAAATCACGTTTCTGATGCATGTATCATTAGTAAGCTCCCAGTGAAGTTCTCTATGCATTACAAACAATTTTTCTGGTGTTGAGATATTTCTCGATCTTTTGTAAGAAAATAGTGAAAAATGTTCTTCTAAGGTCTCTAACATATTTTTTTTTTCTTTAATCTACTGCATGGCAGAAGTAGAACTGCAACACTCTGCAATATGGATGGCTGGGGTCTATTTGGTGCTTCTAATGCAGTTCCTTGAAAACAAAGTAACTATCGATCTTACGCGAACTGAATTTGTTGAGGCACAAGAGGTTGGTTATTTCCTGCTCACTTGCCATATTAGTTAAACGTGCATTTTCAATTTAATTTAAGTCTGAACTTATGATATCATGTTAGTTGAACAAGTTGATAGAATGATTCAAAATAATTCATTGCTAAAAAACTTCTGACCATATTTCTGGTCATATATTTCTCTCTCTCTCTCTCTCTCTCTCTCTTTGTTACTTCTTGTTTAGAAGACATTATTGTTCAATGTTAAATTAAAGGCCTCTGCAAGGTTGTTGGTATTTATGTTTTACGGGAAAAGCCTTGATCCAGTTTTTGATGGCATCCTAAGTCAGTGAAATCCGCAACATACCCTCCCTCCAGAACCAAAAAACAAGAAGAAAAAATGAAAAAAATTACATTTTATTTAGAAGTTCAATACTGAAGATCATATTTAACAGTTTTACCATATGTTTATTGTTAGTTGGAAGATACTTTTGAAAGGGAATTTTACTTTTGTCAAATGGGATACTGATTTTCCATGAAAGTGAAATAAAACATTGTATAATTTTGATAAAATATTGTATAATGTAAATTTAATGAAGAACCATGTATCATTGCAGGCTTTGATGCAGATGAGAAATTGGTTTATTCGCTTCCCAACAATCTTACAGGCCTCTGAGAGTATCATTGAGATGCTACAAGGGCAGTATGCTCATTCTGTTGGCTGCTATAGTGAAGCTACTTATCATTTCCTCGAAGCTTCGAAGGTAATTATTTGCTGGCACTGGTATCTAGGTGGATGCCGATTTACGCATTCTTTTCTGAATAATTTTACATAGATGATTTTCTTCTTGGTGTTAATTGTTACCAACATACTTGTTGATCCCCACACGTAGACCTGAGTTTGGAAATCATATAGGATAATTTTTTTTCTTGATCTATAAATAACAAATCTACATGAGCATTATTAATGAATTTTATCTGCTTGATCTATATGTTTCTCGTATGTAGTTAACAGAAAGCAAATCAATGCAAGCCATGTTCCACATTTATGCAGCAATCTCTTACATCTGCATTGGAGATGCTGAATCCTCGGCAAAGGTATTGTTTTTCCTGCCAAGATCTGAATTTATATTGTAGATGACGTTAGATTCTTACCAGGACTAGCTTTTCTACAGGCTGTTGACTTGATTGGACCAGTTTTGGGAGTCATTGATTCTTTTGTTGGAGTGCGAGAGAAAACCAGTGCCCTTTTCGCTTATGGCTTTCTACTGATGAGGCAGCAGAATCTACAAGAAGCCAGGTAGAAGTTTCAACTCTTGTTTCATTACATCTTGTCCTCCCATATTGTATGAATATACCTTTGCTAGTGCATGATTAGCGTATTTCTTTACTAATCTAAAATATGTTATGTAAACTCTGTAGGATAAAATTGCTTACCCTTGTCCTTATTAGTTTTGTGTTTATAATTCCCATATCTATATCTTTTGGAAGGTGTGATTTTTATTTTTTATTTTTTTATTATTTTTGTGTGATTGTATTCATTTGCAAACAAGAATTTAATTGTGAAGTTGGGTCAATAAGTTTTGGTCATTAGACGTACCATGTCCGTGGTGGTAGACGACATGCTCTTGAGTTGGAGAAAAACTGTAGTAGGCCATGAGATTAAATTGTTGGCTGTTTTGTTTTCAAAATGCACTCGACATCTGACCTGACATGTCACAGTTTCTAACTATCTCAAGAGTTAGTTTTCTTTTTCTTTCCTCCCTTCTAAAAAAATTTGTTGAGTTTGATTATATACTGACTTTGAATTGAACTCCCTTGGGCAAACTTCTTATCTATTAAGTGGCCTAGCTTAATTTTGAAAGTTTGAAGAAATTAATGGAACTTGTGCGTTCTCAGGATATAGATTGATTTATTCACTTTTTGTTCATTTGCTTTTTTGTCTGGTATTTGTGCTGCTAGAAGTCTTCCGAACATGCTTTTGATTTATCTAATTTGAGTCGCTGACCTGAAATTTGTACCTGAAACCCTTCTAGTTCTAGGGCAGTAGTTCTTTTTTTTTCTTTTAAGTCAAATCTTAGATTATTACCGGAGTACAGTAGTTCCTGTAGTCGATTTTAAAGTAGGGAAGTTTTAAAATTTTATGTAGTCTTGCAAGAAACTTGAAGTGAGCCAACATCATTTTTTCACTAGAAAATGTGTGATGTGCAATATTAGATTACACAATTTAGTTATCTGTATCTGTCTCGATTCCTGCCAATTGATTTTGTGACTATCTTTGATGAGTCCACATCCGTACTGACGATGTATTCCTTGCTAAATCATGCGTTTAACACCCAGGTACTCAGATATTGACATGTGCCACAAGAAATAAGAAATCCATGGAAGTAAAATGCATTAGAAATTTTCTTTTCCATGTGTCAAAATATGAGTGATTGAAATTAACCGAAACTACATCTCTACCCCTTCCCTTTTCTCACATTGTACATAACTTTGACGCAGAGTACGACTAGCATCTGGTTTGCAAACTACACATACCTTTTTGGGGAATCTTCAACTTGTTTCGCAGTATTTAACCGTGCTAGGAAATTTGGCACTTGCACTACATGACACAGGTCAAGCTAGAGAGATCTTGAGATCCGCCTTAACATTGGCGAAAAAACTATACGATATCCCAACTCAAACCTGGGTTCTATCCAATTTGACAGGTATATCACATATTTGGTTCTTCAATTATGGATAGATAGTTAATGGGTTTCACTGTGTTTATGTATTCTTGCTGCTACTTATTGTATCTACCCATGTTCTATTTGACCTCTGAAATTGTGATAGATTCAGAGACGTATCTAATACCTTATTTGTTTGGTAAGGCGGGTTAGACAGAACTTAATAGTATTAAAGAAGATTGAATACTGCGTACCAAACATGCTATGAGAAATGGCGTTGAATAAGTGCAGCCAACTTGTGGGACAAATGACTTGCGAAGTTTCTCAGTACAAGTTGTTGCCTTACGGTATTGATTAGAATGCTTATGAAGATAGAGAACAAAAGAATTAAGGTCGACATAAATTATGCCAATTTGGAATGAGTGAATTTTGCTGTCAATGATGAAGAACAATTTGGAGAAGCATCTTATATGCTAAAGATTTGTGCCTGCAGTAGGCAGGGCAAAAACATCTGTTATTGCCGCCTTTTCATTTCGAGCTTAAATTGCTTTGGTCTATCATATCTCTCATTCGTTGTACCTCTTTTTACCTTATCGCTGCCTGCAGCTTTGTACCAGCAATCTGGCGAGAAAGTGCATGAACAAGAAAATCTCGAGTATCAAAGGAGGAAAGTTGAGGATCTACAGCAAAGACTCTCCATTGCATGTTCATCCATTCATCATAATGAACTGGTAAGGACGCCTTTGACTCTTGTATCGATCTCGTACCACGACGTTGATCTGTAGAAAACACTTCCATAATAGTTCTAATATTGGCACTTGGTCCTCATTTTAACATGTATAAATGAGCAGATTGAGAAAGTAAAACTTCAAGTTCACCAACCGAGTGAAATCGACATCAAGCGAGCAGTTGCAGGCCCTCCTCGGAGTGTAAATCTCGACATCCCTGAGTCGATCGGTCTGTCAGCTCCATCACCCTTGCCATCATCAGCAAGGCTTATGGATTTGGACATTGGGAGGCTTGGGAAGAGGAAGATATAGTTCCCCACTTGTAAGTTGATATTCCTTTCCTATTCGAGGATAGGAATAACTGGAAAATGACGAGAGAGCACGTCTTTCCCTCTTCGTGGCAAGTATAGGCACACCGGCATAATTTTCCCATCCTAATCTTACGACATATTCACTTGACAATATTAAAGAAGAAAAAGAAATCAAAATCGTGTTCATTATATGGTTAGTCATATCCAATATTACTTTCTAAATATGAATTCAGGGTAGTTTATTTACCTTGGCTAGAGTAGATAATATCCTAGAATCCTTTTAGCAATGGAGTTTCTTTTGTAAATCTCTCTTCTCAAATCGTGAGGTTGTTAGGGCTATGATATAAAAGATACTTGTAATGATGTTCACTTTTTTCAGTTTGTTAATAGTTTGTGAGGTCTTGTGATGTCTTCAGGAACTTTCACATAGTAACTTGTGATGACATTGAATTTGCTGTTTTGTAACACTTGTTATCCTCTCTTGTTTGTTAATATTCCAATCAGTTTCTCAATTTGGGAGTTTCACATTGAACCGATCTGCAAATTAAAAATTACTCTAATATGGTGGTGCATAACGGGTCGAGCGATCCAAGTCTATGGTAACTCAACTCTGCTAAAAAAATATACGAAGATCAGGTCGAGCTGATTTGTGAATTGGTACGTCACAATGAAGGGTCTATTATTGAGTTTATCCAACTCGATAGCATCTTGCCTTTTGGGACCAATAGAAAGATATGTTTTCGTAGAACGGATTATGTCAGCTTTAATTATCCAGCACGATGACTTGTAAGGATGGATACTGTTAGTCTGACTGATTAATTAAAAGGTAAAAGTAGAATTGAAAAAGTTATCGAGTTTTGTCCGCAGATCAATCCTCAAATTTGATGGACAGTTCAGACTATGTTCGGACTATATTTTTAACATAGGGATTGTTCATGCATGCAACAAGTCTAATTGAACTCGGTGCCATTTGGTTGATTCAAGTTGACCTGTTTATTTTGACACCCCTATTTCAATACCATGTTTGGACGCACTTAAAAATAAATTAAATTAACTTATATGTAATAATTTTTCAGACATTAAAATTAACTAAAAGATGTATGGAAAGATGAGCACGAACAAAGTAGTTGGATGAATATGTGCCACAATACCAGAATCTGAAACAGTGGCACTTCGAATTTGATACTGTTTTTGCACTGCACATTCTCATTATCTCTCCATCAAAGTCGTTTGTTAGCGAGCCGAAGGTGCCGTGTACGAAAGGTTAACCCCAAAGTATATATTTATTCGGTCCAGCATTTTCTCGAACACTTGTCAGAATATACAGTTATTGAACTTGTGTCAAGGAGAAGATGCAGGCTACGGTTGCGTCCAGATGTTTGAAGATTCTGAATAATTCAATTCCGCCTCGCTGTTTTAATGGTTATTTGATAACATATTCTTCTAAATTATTAAACCAATCTCAAATTGGCTTTGAATTCAAGCAAAATTCAATCTTTACTGTACGCACCTTATGGAGCTCCGGCAGAAAGAAGCCGTCTTTACTCCCTCATATCAATGCTTTTCTATCGGATTTTCCCTCCAAAACACCCCAGAACCCCGTATGCACACTTTTCCCTTTTGTTCTATTAATTTGAATTAATTATTAAATACTTCTACTGGATTTTACGTTTTACAGTATTTTGGTTAACTTTGCTGGGAAATTCTTGGTGAACAGCGCTCGGTATCAGATGGCTATGCGTTGTTTTCTACAGAAGCAAAGCCAGCACCGAAGCAAGCGCCTACGACGTCGTTGAAGAAAACTGAAGCTTCAGGAGACCAACTCCCAGATACTAAAATCATCGCAACTCTCGCAAAATATCTATGGATGAAGGATAATCTCGAATTTCGGCTCCGTGTCATTGCTGCATTGGGCCTTTTAGTTGGTGCAAAAGTAATAATAAAAAACCTATCTTTGCGTTCATGTTATTACATATGTATTTACCGTATACAGGTGCTTAACAATATGATCTTTTGGGGGCTGGGTTGGGCTGTGTGTAGGTGTTGAATGTTCAGGTGCCATTCTTGTTTAAGCTTGCTGTTGATTGGTTGACAACCGCAACGGGAAATGCCAGTGCTCTAGCCGAGTTTACTGCTGCCAATTCAACTGTTTTAGCACTTTTTGTTAGCCCTGCTGCGATTTTGATTGGGTATGGTATAGCACGTGCAGGGGCTTCTGCTTTCAATGGTAAATTTTGTAGTAGGAGTTTTTTAGTGCTTTTCTCTGTTTATAGTTTTTCCCTCCTTATGTACTACGAAAAAGGCTGGGGAAATGAGAATTTCTTCTTCCTCCTTTTTTATGTATATTTTCTATGGTGTTTAATGCACTTTGTTTGATTTTAGAATTGCGAACTGCGGTGTTCTCTAAGGTGGCATTGAGAACAATCAGGCAGGTTTCCCGAAAGGTCCGTTACTTCGCTCACGTTTTCTTTTCCCTCATGTCCAAACTGTGTTTATGAATAAAAAACTGTTACAGATCAAATAATGCAAGAGGATCGATTTCTGATCTCCTTTCGTGTCGATGACATGCTTTGTGCTCGCTGTTATCCTTCAATTTTATGCATTAACAGCTTATTAGTAAATAACTACCTTGAGTCTAATACAAGTGAAAAATGGAGGTCAATGCTGGTACCGAACACTATGAGCTTTCATTTATTCAACCTTTCTTTTGTAATTTTGAGTGGGTAATGAATATAAATTAGATGTGTACTCTTTGTCATAGGGGATAGGCCAGAGTAAACTATCTTTCTCATTCTTTATGGCTTTTCAGTGGCGAACAGTATGCTTGTTGTATATGGCTCCAATTGTTCGACATTTTTACATGATATATAACCATCTTCTAAATATGGAAGACAGAAAATTATAAAATAATAAAGTAATCAGGCTTTTTTTGTGAACATCAAATTTCATTCACCTTTGAGTGGTGCTGTAGTGAAGATAGAATTAGGTCTCAACAAGCAAATCAAGTCCTATTGATTGAAGGAAGTGTTCTCTTAAGCTAGAGGAAGATCAACCCTTTCTTTCTCTTTTATAATTGGTTGGATTTGGCAGTGGTAAAAAAAAAATCAAGTTAGATATTGCCATGATGTTAACCAAAGTTTAGCCAGGAATAATGGGAAATTAATAGTGAAAATGCTTGCTTGTCAGTTTAATTCATTTATCAACTCATTTATCATGTCTAAGCTAATTCTGGTGTTGGCTAATGATGAAGTTGAAACATTCATGTTATTCTCACGTGGAAATAGTTAAGTAAATATGGTTAAACAAAAATTTCCATTAACCATGTTATATCAAGTAACAAATTTTCAACATATGCTTTGAAAAAGTTGCATCCGGACATCTTTTTCGTTCTGACATAACTGACTCCTCTTTTGCAGGTTTTTTCACATCTCCACGAGCTCGACCTACGGTTTCACCTTAGGTATTCTTAAGAAAAATCTTCTTAGAAAAGCTTTATATTCTACATTCCCTGTAGCACATTGGTTATAACTAAAATTTGACTGCACACTTTGTTTACCTCTTAGTTGTCTTTTGTTAGATTTCTCCCTCCTTTTCTCTATCTTTATTACATCTTCACAGTCTTCGTTTCCTTTCTGTACTGTAAGTGAAGGGCTATGCCTTCAGTCAACGTGTCCTAATAGGCAAAGCAAACCGTCCTATGATCAGATCTCTCTCTCTCTCTACCCTTCGGTTTTACGGCTTATTTAGATCATGAGAAGATTTCGTACAGAGAATTCAAATCAGAATACTGCACATGATACTTGCATGGTCTCAGAATATTGTTTAAAGTTCAAGAGTTCAATTATAGCTAATCTCCACTTTCAACTTCTTCCTTTTTGCAGTCGTGAAACAGGTGCTTTAAATCGAATAATTGATCGTGGTAGCCGTGCTATTAATTTTATACTTTCATCCATGGTCTTCAATGTTGTACCAACTATATTAGAGGTATGATTTCATTACGTTCAGGCCTTTTGTTTCTTGCTTGTGCACCTATGTTTATTTCTTCTGGTAATACAATTTTTTTCTAATATTGTTGCTTTCATTTCCCTTTTTCTAGAAACAACCTTAATGGCTTTAGTGGTCTTTCAGATATCAATGGTGTCCGGTATTCTTGCGTATAAGTTTGGAGCACCATTTGCATGGATTACATCACTGTCTGTGGCTGCATATATAATTTTCACACTGACTGTGACACAGGTATTTTTCCTTCTATGCCTCCAGTGATGTTTTTGGTCTCATCTATTATTTCTTTGAAAAGGAAAGTCCTGACCCTTTTCCAGAGAATATAGTTTCCTCTATCTCTTTCCTGTTCTCTGATTATTGCAAATTTTTTTCTTTCCCTCCTCTTCCCATGAGCTCTTCACCCTATGTTTTTGTTCGTTGTTTTGCTAAAAAAAAAATCATAAAAGAATTTCGCCAAGATGGTGTTATTTTTCCGATATTTTTCAACTCAAGGCCTCACTTTCCTTTTTTTTTTTCTAGTGGAGAACAAAGTTTAGGAAGGAGATGAACAAAGCTGATAATGATGCTAACACAAGGGCAGTCGACTCTCTAATTAACTATGAGGTGAGTTCACAATTGTTTTCATACGGGAATTCTTATAATTTTTCTGCAGTATTGATAATTATCCAAATTAATGGTTATTTTATACATTTTCTTTTCAGACTGTGAAGTATTTCAACAATGAGGCTTTTGAAGCTGATAAATATGATGAATTTCTGAAAAGTAAGTTGTTTGAGATTTGGAGAAGTCTTCGTTTATATGATTAATCTTATCTTGTATAGGTTAGTACAACAAGTGAACTAATTCTCAATAGACAGGTTATCCACAATGATAAAATTTTTTTTTTTTTTAAATCTATTTTATTATTTGGATAAGGGGTTGTTATTGAAGTCATCATTGGATCTTTAACAAGTTGGAGATGGGCCTAGGACCAATGGCTGGAGTTTCAGAACTGATTCT